TCTGTTTTTTGGAGGCTCCTCGGTTAGAGAAGTTGCCTTTCTTCCTCACCTTTGAGAAGCAAGGAAGTGAGTTGAGGTAGGGGAATTCTTATGTTCAAAAAAAAAAAGGCAGAGAAATTTAGGAAGTTTAGGGAAGTCCAGAGAAATTTTTAAAATTTCTCTGGACCAGTTTTCTCTGACTTGAATTTTCTCTGGATTGATGTTGAGGGACCTTAGACATCATGAAAATATTTGATGTCCTTTATAATATAAAATCATAATATCAGGGACCTTAAAAAAAATTCCCACTTATAAAATTAAAAAATAAATAATAATAAAATTTATTATAATAATATCCAAATACATTTACGTGCAGAGCTAGCTACCCATATCTGACTTCAATGAGAGCTGAAAACCGGACCCAATCTATCTAAACGGTTGGGGATCCACTTTTACACCCAAATAAAATCATGACAAATAAATAGAATCACTCTAAAAAATTGTATGTATCTAAAACTTGTGCCTCAAAAATTATTTTAAAAATGAGATGTAATGTTGATTTGATGTGAAAATGTGATTTTTTTAATAATTTAGCTTTTTTGAATATGTGACATTATTATTACTATAAGAAATTAAGGTTTTAAAAATAAAAATTTAGAAATAAAATATTTTTGTAGCTAAAAGTGTTATTATTTTATTTTTGAATGACAAAATTGGACATGTAGTGATTAATTACTAATCTTTTGAAATCAAAAGTTGTCTCAAAAAATAAGCTTATTTGGGATCAGTTATTTTATCCCTAAAAATACATTTATTAGCGATATTTTCAAAATTTTGTCCCTAATAGCTCTTTTTTTTTTTCTGCACTTTTTTAGACAACTCATTAGCGACTATTCTTACGACAGTTGAAATTAATTCTTAAATATTTTTTGTAATAAAATTTATACTTTTAAAGACCAAAAAAAAAAAAAAAAAAAAAAAAAAAAAAAAAAAAAAAAAACAACAACAACAACAGCAACAGCAACAACAACAACAACGTAATCTTTAAAACTGTTGTATGTTGTGGTGATTCAATATTGATATGTTCAACAACAATTGTACAAATCGTCTTTATTTGCCTCATAGGCTGTATTCAATTTTTCAACGCTAATTTTTCTTATATTCTTTGTAATTATAAAGTCTCTTGCTATTTTTGTGTTCATAATGTTTGGTCAACATTTTCTACTTATGGTATTGGTCAGTGGTACATATTTTTCACAAAATAGCCAGCTCTTAATGATTGAAACGAATGTGAGATCTACACAAGTATAATAAAAAGATTAAAAAAAATTAAAAGGTCTATAGAAATGGAAAGATGATCTCGATTTGACTGAATCTTTATATACAAGAAAATAAATAATATTTACTTGGTTACTACATAAATCTCTTAATTGTAGTTCTAAGCTTGAGCAGTTGCTGCTATATGTGTACATGTAACATTAAAATCATAATTAGGATTGACGGTAAAGCTTAAACAATAATTGGGATTTTATTATTATATGTACGCATATAGATATGTGGTCATGTATGTTTGTTTGGTGAAAATGAATTGTTTGCTTGGCATATAAGCAAATTATGCTCTGAAATGGTCAAATGTTAAATTATATGTAAAAAAAAATTCTCAATTTTAAAAGAGTGAAATTTTTTAAAAGAGAGTGAAATTGCACACAATGATCTATCATTTTTACCATAATGGAAGAACCATACTCATTACATTCGAGTGTGCTACATGATACTTAAGAGAGTGAAGCTTATTGACGCCAACATTTGCTAGTTTTAAGAATTTTGAAAACAGAGGATTCAGTGCAATGCCTCTACTAGCTCCTACTTATTTGAAGCCTCATCATTATGCAGATGGTAGATGTGATTTTGCAATTCTACCATCAGCTCCCTTTGGGTAAAAGCCACCAGGGACATGCTCATCTCCGCTGCTATATATAATCCGTAATATCTCCTCTGGAGTTCTGTCATATCCAACAGAATTTTGATCCCCAGCAAGAACATTACCCCTAAGCTTTCCCTCGGCTCCTTGGAAAGTTGGAACGATAAGGCCTTCGTCTTTTACGCCTGCACTTCCCAACTTATTTCGTAGCTCTGAGATGCGGTCGGTGAATGCTGCCACCGTGATTCCATATGGCTTCACCTTCTCCCTTGCCCTCTCGTAAAGAAGTCCTCGGATACTGCATCTTGGCCCGACTCTACGGCCAAAAGCCCAGCCACTAGCTGATACATATACATAGCAAGAAAAAAGAAAAAAGAAAAAAAAGAAATTAGTTTCATAGATTATTGGATGAGTTTTATCGAGATTTTTTTTTATCACTACATGAGTTTTTTGAATCTGATGGATTTTATATGTATTTATTTTATGCATTGGGATAAGAGGTGAAAAAATAGGTAAAATTCATACAATATTAATTTATTATTTCAAAAATTATTGACACAGTTAACTCATAAGCTATATATATATATAATAAAATAAAAAAATTGTTTTTGAGTTGGTGATTTTAAAAAATTCACAACTGCATCATCCAATTCTCAATTGATTGTTACTCAGTACACAAAATACCGGTACACGATGGATGCTAATTCATATGGCAGTTTTTTAATGAGATTGTAGCATATACACATACCCTTTTGGAAATGGGGCTTTGGAGTTTTGTATTTGCACCAACATATCCAGTGAGTCCAACATAGGGAATAACATAGGATGCAAGAAGAAAGTTGAGTTCATTAGCATATGGATCGAAAGCTGGCTTCAATGCCCTTCCAAATGCACTATTCATCACATTCCCAAATGCTTCTGCACTCAGATTCAGCAGTGGCCTTGGAAATCCTCTTACTGTGTTCTTGATGGCCCTGCATTTATAAGATGATCAAGACCAACGCATCTAGAAATTTTTTTCTAGAAAGTGAAAGAAAATAACACTCAGGTTTGTTTTGATGAAAAATATTTTAGAAAAAAAATCTACATTTTATAGCATTTGGTACAATAAAAACAAAAGTCAACAACAAATGTTTATGTGATCAATAAAAAACAAATTTATTTAGACCAAAAAAAAAAAGAAAAATTCAACTTTTGAAAAAACCACACTATCACCATTTCTACTATCCTACCACCACCATCACCTCCACCCCACCATACCACTATCCTGCCAACATCACCACCTCCTCCACCACCCTTCCACCCCACCACCACCCCACCACTTCCTCTGCCACTCTACCACCCCTACCACCGCCGCCACCACTATTCTACCACCACATCCTACAACCAACACCACCACCACCACCACCACCACTATTCTACCACCACATCCTACAACCAACACCACCACCGCCACCACTACTACCACTAAGCCATCACCTTCATCACTACCATAACCATTAACACATTAATTTCAAAGTTGCTTATAGGAAAACATTTTCTATCAAAAAAAATTTATTCATATTTTTCATAAAAAATATTTTTTACAAACAAATGAATCGTAGAATAGTATTGAGAAAGGGAAAAAAATCATTTAGATTAAATTACCTCAAGTGACCGACTTCCTGGAAGGCGAATTGGAGGATAACGTCCTTCGTGAAAGGGTCAAGTCTGGCCTTGGTGGTGCCTGTTGGAAATGGTTATAAAATTCTGGATAAAACCAGAATTTTTTCCTAAGTTCGGTCTATTTTTTTTAAATACAGTGAAGATTGTCCTACAGTGCCAACCGGTGGTGGACCGCCCATGGTGAGATTGGGAGCTATGCTATCCAACCCATAACCTAAAGATCCCCATAAGAAGAACTCTGCTTCCAAATACTCTAAATTTAAAGGGAACTCTAAGAGATCTATATCAGAGCCTGGGATGGCTGAGTTGCAGTTTTCTGAACAGTAAGAGGTGGTAAGAAAGAGTTGGAGGAGAAGGATGGATGAGATAGTGGTGGCCATGCTGGTTGTGGGAATGGACAATGCCATCTTCTTGTCTTTGTTTTGGTACTGATGTATGTTTCATGTAGTTTCACCAACACACACAAATCTATCTATATATACACATACATTTGAATTTTTAGACAGTTTTGTAAATAAGGAAAATCATTTTGCAACTTTTAAATGAGTAAAACTGGTTGGTAATTTTGAATTATTTGGTAATAGGAAAATTTTTTTAGCAAATTATTGAATGTGATAATTATTAATAGTGAAGGACAATTTTACAATAAAAAAAAAAAGTATAATAACGTTCACATAAATAAAGTGTACATTTTATATAATAAAATATAGAGAGTTAGTATGTACAAATCAAATATTAGTATGTATTTTTCATATTAAATGATATGATTGTTTGTATTTATTTATTTATTTTTTATGTGAAAACACTTGTGATTAAGATTTATAATTTTAATAATACTATTGTCACATTATTTTCGACTTACTTTTTTTTAAAGTCATTTTTTATAAATATGGCTTTTACACAGTCAAGATTTAAGAAGCAGAAGGGTAGTCCACAGTCAAAAATTCAGAAACCAAGTGGGAGTTGATCTGAAAGGAAAACTTATTTGTGGAGGAGGAATAGGACATACAGGAGGCTCTACTTAAATGCGCATTGTCTTATGGTGGTTTGTTGTTAGTGGGAGCTTCTTCATTCAGGAATAAAAACAAAAAATAATAATCTTTACCCATAAGTAGGGTAATTTTTTTTATTTTTTATTTCCTAATTATACATTTGTAGTAAAATTTAAAATGCATTTATTATAAAATTAATAAATATTCCATAACTAAATGCACATTGTCTTGTATGAACGGTGGTTTGTTTTTTTTTGATCAGCAAAGAAAAATTTCATTAACAGCATGAAATTAAAGGTACAGGCAGATGACATGCATCGAGAGAGATTCGGAAAGTACAGAATACCCCTACTACTGCTACTCGCATCCATACAACCAACCCCTTGGCCTCACGAATTTTTTTTTTTTTTTTTCAAACAAAAAAGTTAAGAAGAACTTAACTATAAAACAAAAAAATAATAATAAAATAAAGACTCCCCACAACATCAACCCACACAACCCGAACCCAAACACCAACTCCAAAACAGCCAAACTAAACAAACCAACTCCCAATGTTGCTGCACTCCCATGCTGCTGCACTGCCAAGATCCACGCACGCCACCACAGCCAAAACTCACGCCTGCCGCACACCCAAAGCCCACACCTCTGCTGACTCACCATCATCAGCCCCTACCTCTCCTGACTCACCATCAACAGCCCCTACTTCCACTCTGCTGTTGCCCCTAGCGGACTCACCTACCACCTTGCTCCTGCCGCCATCATCATCCTCCACAATGCTCCGTCTCTACCCCGGTACACCAACCTTCTAACCTATGAAACCATCTTTTAACTCCATGCTAGCAACCTCTTTTAACACACACTGCCAGCCGAGCCACCCATACCCACTGCAGAACCAACACCCACTGCAGATCCAAACCCCAAGATCTTCTTCTTTCTCACACCCACGGCAGCTCCCCTGCTAACCAACCTGCTGCTACCAACCACGCCTCCCATCTGAACACCTACCGAGCACTCAATGCATCGGAACACACCCAACGCCGAGACCCACTTCCACGCCAATACCCACTGCCGACTCCACTTCTCCACTCCTATGGTCGAACACACCCAACGCCGACCTGGATCATCTTCGACACACATCCGAACACGAACACACCCAATGGCGAAACAGAACCACTGCCAACTCCAAATCCATGGTCGGACACCTCTGTTCCGAACCAAACTCCGAACACACCCACTGGATACCACTGGATGAAGTACACCCCTCAAACACCAACTCGAAAAGGAGCGCTCGAATGGAATCTTAGATCTGGATCGAAGATTTGGATCTAGATCTGAACTCTTAGATCTTAGATCTGGATCGAAGCATCTCCATAGATCCGAACCAACATTCATCCCTCAAACTCCCACTCGCACAGGAGCGCCCGAATGAAACTCCTACCCAGAATAGATCAACCTTTATTCTGGTCCAAAACCGACCACCATCTACTCTGATAGACCCCTATACCAAGCACCCCCTGGTGAAAACAAAACAAACAGCTCCAAAGGGAGCTGGACCAGCAGCACCGAAACACATCTAAGTGGGAAAACATTATGGGAATCAAGTTATTATATGGAAAAAACAACACATAAACAGAAGAGGAAGCTGGACCAGCCGACCGCCATAGCCAAAGGCGGCGGCCGGCCAGCCAAAAGTGAGGTCAGGGGTGGAGGTTTTTAGAGAGAGAGTGAACGGTGGTTTGTTGTTAGTGGGAGCTTCTTCATTTAGGAATAAAAACAAAAAAAATAATCTTTACCCATCTAGTAGGGTAATTTTTTTTATTTTTTATTTCCTAATTATACATTTGTAGTAAAATTTAAAATGCATTTATTATGAAATTAATAAATATTACCCATCAAGTATAGTAAATTTTTAACTTTTCTTCTTAAATTCTATCTATATATATCTATCATATCTATCCATCTCTATATTTGTACTATATATTAAATAAAAGAGACTTTTCGCAAAAAATCTTGTGAAAATTACTTACACTTCTAATTAAATTTTTGAATTTTTGCTTCGAAATAATTTTAAAAACACTATTGACTAAGCTGTTAAACTAACAATTGTAAACCAATAACAGGGAGCCTCCCATATTTATCCAACTAGTGGAGGCTTTCAAAGGAAAAAAAAATAACATTCCAATTAATTAAGTTATCAATGTAGTTGGTAAATTTGTAGGTAAATTAGGGAGGCTCCCTAGACTTATTGATTATCAATAAACATAATATTGATTCCAAATTTATATTTTTCTGAAGGAAAGATAAAATAATCTGCTTCCTAATGTATCCAAATCTATTCTCTCTCATAAAATTCAAAAGGAAAAATTAAAAGATATCCAAAATACTAATTACAAATTTTCAAGTATTGATTATCTACCTCATTTAATTTAAAATTTATACTATTATATAAGTAAAAATGTTGTTAAGTATTTGAGTTTTAAAGTATTAGTGTAATTTTTTTTTTCAATTTTAAAAATATAAAAATACACATGTCATGAAATTATTGGATATTTAGTCATTGCGGTAATATATTGGACATTTAATCTTATCTCCTTTAAAACATTGTTAATTTGATCAATATGGTAGTATTATAATTGATGTTTTCTCTTAACTCTTTTAAAACATTCTATATATATAGCAGTTAAGTCAAATATTTTAACTTTTCAATATTTCAAAAAAAAAAAAAAATCATTATTGAGTCCTTCATCATCAGTATAATAATATTTTTAAATTTTCTTAACTAAAAAAATCACTTTAATTTTAAAATTTGTATCTATCTATATTAAAATTTTATATAATATAAGCAAAAACATTATTAGAAAATTTGTCCACACATAATCTAGAGTTATATATGAAAAATAGATAATACATTTACGTTGTAAAATCAAAAATCTATATATTACATAATGTTAGTCAAAAGACAACTTAAGATGGGGGATGAATTAAGTTTTTACAACTAAAATTAATAACACCCTAATAAAAATTATGACTAGCACAATAAATAAATATAATTAATGAAATAAAAATAATTAAAACAAGTGTCTTAACAACTATGTCAGTTAATGATTTTAGTACAGTAAATATGTGAATTATAGCTATGGCAATTTAAAATAAAGTAAAGAGATAAGGGAGAGAGAGACAAACAAATTTATAGTGGTTCGGCTTCAACTCGGCCTATGTCCACTCCTCAAGTTTCACTTGAGATTTTTCACTATCTTCTAGCTTCACAGGGGTGCTAGCAACCTCTTTACAAATGGAGCAATCATCCACGAATTTTACACAGACTTTACAAGTCCAAACCCTTGCAAATCTTAGATGATTCACAATCACTCTCAAGATTTCAAGAACACAGTATTTGCAATACTTTACAAGATGAAATGGTATTTTTGCTTTCAAAGAAAGCTTACAATAAATATCTTTCAAAGATAGATATATAAAATGAAGTTTTGATTTTTCTGTAAATCTCACACAGGAAAGGTGGGCTTAAAGCTATAAGGCTCAGTGTATAATTTCTGAGAATAAATGTGAGTGATTATACATCAAAGAATATTTTTAGGTTTTTTTTGTTACTTGTTTACATTAGAGGCTTTGGTATATATAATGAATTTATAGCCGTTTATAGCCGTTGTAGTCATTTGAATTTATAGCCGTTTATAGCCGTTGTACTTCCATCATTACCAATTTGAATATCTTTCACTCCATCATTACAAACTTGAATATCTTTCACTTTAACCTTTTGAACCTTTTGGCCTTTTGAACCTTTATAATCGTTTATAGCCGTTGTACTTTCATCATTACTAATTTGAATATCTTCCACTTGAACATTTTGAACCTTTTGGCCTGCTGCTGTGCTAGGCTGTTTGAACTCCTGATTTAATCAAATATTAAATACATTCTAACAACATTTAGGATAAAAGTTTAGGTGAGAAATAATGGGGCAAAATAAATTTTGATTCTATTTTTCTCTTTCAAATAAATTAAAACATAATTAAATAAATCATCAAAATAAATAAGTCTAACAATCTCTCCCTTTTTGATGATGGCACACAATGATGTTTTGATTTGATTTGGGAGTAACAAGGGCTCCCCCTCAAGTCATGCTCCCTGAATTCATTTCTAAATATATAGGTTAGCACATGTGTAATAAATAAGCTTTAATCAATAACATGATATAAGATTAAAATATCAAACTATAAATACATAACATTATATTAGTTTGAAAATAATACCATAATACATAATATCATATAATTTTCTCCCCCTGTGACCTTATCAAAAGGAAATCATGGGTCAGAATATGAAGGAGGATGAGGAGGAAAATGATAGTGATGAATGGCATCAAAAAATAGATAATCAAAACATATATATATATATATATATAGAGAGAGAAAGAGATATATGAATTGCCTGCGCCTCTCTTTTCATTGAAAATCGCGTCGAACACGCGGCCTCGCTTTTTTGTCAACCGACCGACAAAAGCAGCTCTCCTTGATTGCCGCTCGCCTTGACTATCGCTCCCTCCTTGTCTTCTTCTCTTCAACCTCTTCTCTTCAGCCTCTTCTCTTCAGCCTTCTTCTTAATCACACTCGTCTGCTTCTTCTTCTTCGCCTCACTCGCGTCTAACTCTTCTTCTAGCTCTTCTTCACCACACTCTTCTGTTCTTCTTCCTCATCGAGAGATAAAAAAAAAAAAAAAAACTGAACAGAGGAGGCCAAACCTCAGTCTGTTCTCTTCTATTTCTATGCAATGCATTTCTTTTACACCGCTCACCTCCAAACCATGGCTTCCTTATCCCGTCCCCTCACTCTATTTCCGGACTTGAACGATCCCATAAGTTTTGATGGATCGAGTGCCTTTCCTCCTACTCTTCCTATCATTCCTCTTCCTAACCTTCCTATGATGTCAATTGAGCAAATCATGGCAGCTCAATTTGACATAGAAGCCAATCATTTCATACTGACATCCTGTATGGAGACGGTGACGGCAGTCACAAAATTGGCTCATCGATTGCAAAATAGGACGAGTGAGCTCCATCAGGTCAACGCCCAACTCTCTCTGCTCTAGTGCATGTACAAGGATGCGTGAGAAGAAATAGGCGCACTGAAGGCCGAAAATAAAGAGCTTAAACGGAAGACCACCTCCATGTCCCGATTTGGAGCAACGTCGTTCTTGGCCTTTGATAGTCAGCGGGGAGTCGTCGCTCTCGACGAAAGCATGAGAGTAGGGGCGCCAAGGGTCACCTAAGGTGATAAAAAGAAGAAGAAAACGATGGAAGAGGGGAGTAAGTAAGATCGACGGATGGGCTGAAAAAAAATGAAGGTTTTTTTTTTTATGTTTATTTTGATCGGTGTGTGGCCATAAAAAAATGAAGGGGTTTTTTTTTTTTTGCTTTTTTTTTTAATGTAAATATTTGTATTTTGATTTGTTGTTGTGTTTATGTCTAAGTATTGAAAACTGAAATTAAAAAGCAGAAAAAACTAAGAAAATTAAGCCCAAATAAAAAATAATAATGAGAAAAAAATAAAAATGAAAGAAATTAAGCCTAATAGCAAAATAAAAAAAATCAAAATAAAACAATACCAGCAGAAATTAAACTTAATGGGACATTGGTGTTGCTGGAATGGTAATGTAAAAAAAATACCATGAGGGTTTAAAAAAAATCAATGTGTGCAAAGTTAATTTTACCTCAAGATGCAGAACCCAAAAAAAAAATTACTCAGTTGAGAATAACAAACTGTTAAGGAGAATAAATATATGAAAGACTTGAGAGCATGCAACTGATATAAATATTTCCATATCAATGTAGCAATACACATATATCATTTTAACAAAAATTTAAGTTTCACAGTCATAACAAAAAATTTTAAGTAGAAATCGACATTCCAAGCTCGCTACGAATAAAATTGAAGCGATCCTCGCTTAGGGGTTTTGTGAAAATATCCGCTAATTGCTTGTCGGTGTTTACAAATTCAAGTACAATATCCCCTTTTTGAACATGATCTCTTAAAAAATAATGTCGAACTTCAATATGTTTTATTCGTGAGTGTTGAACCAGATTTTTGCTTAAATTGATGGCACTAGTATTATCACATTTAATAGGGATATGATCATAATGCAAATCAAAGTCCTCCAATTATTGTTTCATCCAAAGTATTTGGGCACCACAACTTCAGGAAGCTATATATTTAGCTTCGGCCGTTGATAAAGCAACATAATTTTGGTTTTTGCTAAACCAAGATACTAATGAGTTACCAGGAAAGTGACAAGTGCCACTGGTGCTTTTTCTATCAAGTTTGCGTCCGGCAAAGTCGGCATCCGAGTAACTAATTAAATCAAATGTAACACCTCTAGGATAAAACAGTTCCAATTTTTGAGTGACAACAAGATATCTAAAAATTCTTTTAATAGCACTGAGATGTGATTCCTTAGGATTTGATTGATATCTAGCACACAAACAAACAGTAAACATAATATCGGGTCTACTTGCAGTTAAATAAAGAAGTGAGCCGATCATACCTCGATATTTTGTTTGATCAATGGACTTACCTTTTTCATCATTGTCTAGCTTAATGGATGTGCTCATAGGTGTTCCAGCTATTTTTGAGTCATACATACCAAACCTTTTGAGTAGTTCTTTTGTGTACTTAGCTTGGTTGATAAAAAATCATTCTTTACATTG